GGCGTGTGCGGCGCCCGCGCGGGCCCTGGCCTGTCGCAGTTGCACCTCGGAGCCTGGCCCCGAGAGGTCCCGGCGGTGGAGGGACCGCTGGGGTCTCCCCTCTGGGAGATGCTTGAAACCCGTAGAGGCTGAAGCCCCGGGGCAGCGGGCTGAGAAAGCCCATGTCGAGAGGGAGGGGCAGCTGCTGACCGTGTGGGAATTGAAGGGGCCCGGGGCTTGAGACGGGATCCGGACGGGGCCGGCCTCCGGCTGGTGGTCAGCCACCGTCATTCGGCGACAGCGCTCGGGCAGCAGAGCACTGTGTCTTTGATAGAGTTGGGCGTCGATCGTAGGACATGGACAGTGCTCTGGGTCCCTGTTTTACAAGTGAGAACACTTCTGTGGGTAAAGCTTGTGCTGTCTCTCAGGTGTCCGTGCACCACGTGTTGTCGAAAAGCGATGAGAGAGTAAACCACCCTGAGAGGATCGTGGTGGGGACGAGATGACAACACTCGGTGCAGCAAGTGGCAGCCAGGTGGTGGCGGACAGAGAAGGGTGACTTGTGTCCTTTGGCCCTTCTCACCCACTCGCTCTCTCCCCAGCTGAGCCAGGAGCCAATGGCCAAGGACAAAGTCAAGCCCTTTGAGCTGGACCAAGAGAAATACGATGCTGATGACAACGTGAAGATCATCTGCCTGGGGGACAGCGCCGTGGGCAAGTCCAAGTATGTTGGGAGAGTGGGGAAGAAAGACCAGGCCCAGGGTAGGTCTAGGCTACCAGAAAAGCCCTCCCGAGGCACAGTGGAGCACAGCTTCTGTGGAAGTCATGAGCGTTGTCTTGGCTGGAGCCCAGGTGTGTGTGGCCTGGGGAAATGGGGAGAGCGGGGATCACATCAGCACCTGTGTGTGTGTGTGTGTGTGTGGTGGGAGCCATAGGACTGAGGACATTCAGCCTTTTCCGTGAGCACTGGCAGACGGTGTGGGGCAGGTCACCCTGGAGACCACTCAAGAGGTCCAGGCTGAGGAGGTGAGCACTGGAGTGTTCCTGTATGTGGTTGTGGTTGAGAGATTGAAGGTGGAGGCAGTTAGAATGCAGAGAGGAACATGTGACAGGTGTAATTAGCACAACCAGTGACAGATTGAGTAAAGGTGGTACAAATGCTTTGTCCTAGAGGGACTCACTGAAATTGAAGAGTGGATAGGAATGACGACTGAGCGTGCTCAGCATAAAGAGTGGCTTTTTCTTTTAACTGATGTCGGTACCTGTGTGCACAGGTATGGGGCTCCCCACATGGAGAGTTGAACCGAGGCTCTATAGTGCTGGAAGCTCATCTCCAGGAGCTATGATCCTCTTTCCCACTTGTCCAATTTTCCCAGCACCACTTATTAAATAGATTGTCTTTACCCAATTGTATGTTTTGCCTCCTTTGTTATAGATTAATTGACTATAAAGGAATGGGTTTATTTCTGGGCTCTCTGTTTTGTTTCATTGATCTATGTGTCTGTTTTTTGGCCAGTGCCATGCTGTGTTGTGTACTGTGGCTTTGTAGTATAGTTTGATATCGAGTAGCGTGATCCCTCCAACTTTGTTTTTCTTTCCCAAGGTTACTGTGGCTCTTCTGGGTCTTTGTGGCTCCAGATAAACTTCAGAGTTATTTGTTCTGATTCTGTGAAATACACTATTGGTATTTTCATAGCATTGCATTGACTCTCTAGATTGCTCTGGGCACTATGGACATTTTAACTTTAATTCTTCCTATGGTTGGGTCCTTATTTATATCTTCTGTTTCTGTACTGAAAATAGTTCACTGTTGAGACTTTCTACATTTCTACTTACTTCCAGCACACCTGCACTTGCTTAGGGGTGGTTTTTACAGAGCTGCTTTATCAGCCTTATCAGGCGACTATAACACCTGGCTGGTCATAGTGTGGGCATCTGCTGATCGTCATTTTGCATTCTGTTGGAGAGTTTCCTGGTTCTTGGTATGGTGAATGATTCTCTGCAGAAACTTAGACATTTTGAATATCGTGTTATTTAAACCTCTGTCTGAGTTGGCTTCCTGCAGTGCTGTTTCAGCTGGGAGGGAGGAGAGGTTGTGCCATCCATACCCACCACCTTTCACAGCTGTGGTCGAGGCTGACACTTGGGGAAGGGGGCCTCATTACCATCTTTAGGGAAGTCTTCTCCCTACCTGGCCTTGTTGGACACCAGCCCAGCATGGGAATGTTGTTGGGAGCCTCATTACAGTCTCAAAAGTATGCGCATCTGGGCTCCTCACTCAGCCTTTGCTCGAGGGGGTAAGGACATGGCTGCAGTGTTTTCTGTGGTGTTTGGACAGTGATTATAGTCTAAGGTTTTTTTACCTAGACCCTGGGGACACAGTAATAAACTAAAAATTCAAAACCTGTTTTCATGTGCATTCCACTCTATCTGAGAGAGAGTTAATAAGTAAAATACTTATTAAGTATTAAGTTAATAAGCAAAATGCAGGGCAGGGCAGCGATGCAGTGCACAGTGAGATATAACTTGCCTGCTTGTCGTAAATACAATCGTCAAGGAAGGTTTTATTGCTCAAGTGATGTTTGACCACAACCTGCAAGACCTGCAGAATGTTGAAGAAACGATTTTCAGGTGGGGGCACAGCCTCCCTGGCCGCAGTTTTTCATGCATAATGCAGGGGTGACCGTGGTGTCCACAGTGCCATGGTGGAGATAATGGACCTCAGGGCCTCGCAGGGCTGGTGCACACGTTTGTAGCAAAGTGAGCTGCTTGGTTGTGAGGGTTAGTCATGCAAGTCCCAGGTTCCAGGCTTGGAGAAGAGGCAACGGCACTAACTAGGGCAGGATCAGGTTTAGTTAGTTACACAGCTGAGGTTTTTTTGTTTGTTTGTTTGTTTGTTTTATATATCTTTATTGATTTCACAGAGAGGAAGAGAGGGGGGAGAGAGAGAAAGAGAAACATCAATGATGAGAGAGTCGTGTGCCCTGACCGGGAATCGAACCTCGATCTCCTGGATCCTAGATCGATACTCAACCACTGAGCCATGCCTAGCCGGGCAACAGCTCAGTTTTAGATCTATTGGGTTTATTATGATCCACACAGATCTCCAGCGTAGACACACCACAGAACTCAGGTGACAGGTCTCTATTTCTCCAAATGGTGTCTGTGGCGGTGCTGTGGTGCCTGCAGGCAGAGTGGCTGTGGGTGTGGGAACTTGAGGGGAGTTAGGAGGAGGGAGGTCCTGGGCGTCGCCCTTCAAGGGAACCTGTGTGGCTGTAGAGCGAATGTAAGGGGGAGCCGCAGGTGACTTCAGCTGGTGACCTGGGGCAACCACCGTGCACCTTCCCCTTACAGACTCGTGGAGAGATTTCTCATGGATGGGTTGTATCCTTCGAGGTTTGAAAAGCTCCTATTCCTGCAGCTTTCTCCTCCCTCCTACCAGCTCACCCAGCCCACTCCTTTGCCCAGGGTCTGGGACAAGGGAAAGGTGAGATTCCTCCTGGGTCTCACTGGCCCACGTGGAGTGACACGTAACAGAAGCTGCATCTTTTTTATTACTCGTATTTGGATTTGTTTATACTAGGAGGGCGGTGGGATGGCCAATAGTACCTGGTCAAAGGCCTGGATCCCTGTGTAAATCACTGAACCTCTCTGACCTCAAAGCCTGGGCTCCCTAATTAAAAATTCTGTGGTGTAAATGAACTTTATGAAATACGAGCTGCCAGCTGCTCTCTCTCCCTGTGAATTGTCACATGCTGCAGATTGGGAATGAGACCTGCCTGGCAACTAGGATGGTATACAAAGCTTCCCAGGAAAACCCAATGAGAACTGTGGGCAAGAGGAGGCCCGGAGGCACCCCAGGAGTTGGAGTGTGTCCTGCCTCACCTTCCTTCAAGTCTCCCTTACACCCACCTGCCTACATGTCCCAGCTTATGGCTTCAGGAAGGCTATCCCCAGGTGTTCTGTTGGGTTTCACACACAGGCAAACTACAGTTCACAGCTAGTCAGTTGTCTGGCTCATGGGGACTTTCCATCACACCAACACCACCCCCACTCTGCCAAGTACCTTCCTTCCCTCCCTCCCTCTTTGTTCATCTTTGCTCCTTAACCTGACTGCAGTCAGCCCCAGCAGCTGTCCACGTACGCCCTGACCCTCTACAAGCACACAGCCACGGTGGACGGCAAGACCGTGCTTGTGGGTGAGCAGCACAAGGTCTATTGCTCCAACTCTCAGGCGGGGAAAGGGGAAGGAGATAGTCACGTGGGAGGAAATGAGGCGCGACAGGAATGCAGGGAGAGGGGTGGTAGGGAGGATGCTGAGAGCCTGAAGGCCTGGGAGGGGAGGAAGACGCAGGGCTCAGTTCCAGTGTTCTGACCTGCTGTTCTGGTTGAGCCAGTGTCCAGAAAACAAATGTGGTCTGAATATTATCTTCCACAAAGGGCTCTGACTTTCCATGAGGTGACAACCTTCCCCTTGGCCAGGCCTCACATCCTGCCTGACCATGTCCACCATCTGCAGTTACCACAAGGGGGAAGTCAGCCTAGTTTTGACCTTGGAGGGCCCTGCATCTTGTGGGTTGGGGGAGGGGGGCACCTACCTTAGGGCTTTCTGTCTGCATTTCCATCCTTCTGGCCCTGTGCCTCCTCTCACCCACCTGCGTGCACACAGATGCGCACAGGCCTCTGGAGGCTCAGCCAGGTTCCCTGGGTCCTGACAGCATGCACCTGGGAGCTGTGTGGTCTCTGTGTTCCCCGTGTTGCACAGACACCTGCATGGAGATGCTCAGGGTCCCTGCCCTCCAGCCATCCGGCAGTCAGAACTGTGTTCATATTGCAGACTTTTGGGACACAGCAGGCCAGGAGCGGTTCCAGAGTATGCACGCCTCCTACTACCACAAGGCCCACGCCTGCATCATGGTACGAGTCCTGCTGGGAGGTGGGCAGAGGATCTGGGCAAGTCTGACCAGAGTGGTGAGGGGCAAGGGGCCCCACAGTACTGAGGGGGCTCCTGAGGCCTCCCATGACCATCCCCTGTGCTGCTCACCTCACACCTGGGGTAATAGTGCCACAGCAGGACAGGAAACAGCCCTGGGAGGAGCCAGGGCAGGGGAGAAGATTGGTGTCAGCTGCTGTCCTTCAGGACCTGTCCAAGAGCTCCCCGCTCCATGCTCAGGCTCTACTCTCTCTCAAGCACAAAAGCCCTTGAAATATTCCAGAATTTTAGCTAGTGCCTCCAAGGGAACAGAGCAGAAGAGGAGACAGGATGAGGCAATGCAACAGTGTCGTGCCAGGAGTCACACCTGAAGTCTTGCATTTTCAACATCTGTGATACTGGACAGCTTGGAAGGCGGGTCCCAGCCTGTGTGTCTTAGTTGTGCACTGGCTTTGGTGCTCTGAGCTCACTTCTCTCTTCTCCCTGGGAGTGATCTTCTCCTGCTCCTTTTGGACCCTCTTTGATGCCTGGGGGTGCAGGTGCCTAGCACCAGCCCCACCTGCTGCATGGCCTGGCAGGTAGAAATCACCTACCTCTGATGGCCACAAGGGGTTCCCATAGTCCCAGAGGGAACTGGGGTTCCACCCTTCACCTTGAAACCCTAACCGGAGGGCTCCTCCTCTCAGCCTGCTCCTCAGCTCTCACAATGAGGAGAGGAAGCTCTGAAATCAGACATGGGCAAAAGGTGAATACTGGATGGTGATCACAGTAGTGGAGGCAGCCTGGTGTGAAGCAGACTCCAGGAGTTTCAGTACAAGACTGCTTTACAAGAAGTCTTCATTGGGAATTCAAGACAGACTGGTCACTTGTTGACAGTGGGCCTAGGGAGAACTGTGGAGGAGCCTCCCAGGGGGCCTCCCACTGTCTCAGATGTGACAGCACTGACCCGCGCCTTCTGCGTGCACACAAGGCCCTGGGCCTGGTCCCTGCTGCTCCCACAAAGGGCTGAGTGATTTAGAAGCAATAGCAGCCATTCCAGCAGGTGACAGGCTTGCCATCACTTCCACTGTTGTGCCGGGTGGTTTGCGGCTGTGAGTTTATTCCAGAGGACAGCTTGGAAGCAAGAGGCTGGCCTCAGGAGCTGCTGTGAGGAGCTTGAGGGTCCCTGCATCAGCAGCTTGAAGCATCAGGACTCTGGCCTCCCTGCCCTTAGAGACAGTCCAAGGTGCTCATGCTTCCTGCTGGTATTTTAAAGTAGGTTAAAACTACAAGTTTCAAAGAGTTATTAAAATTATAAGCTACAAGATGATAAAACATAAAAATTATATTGAAAAAGTTTAAAATACAAAGTGAGCAGAAGATTAAAGGCTTAGAATTAAAAGTAAATAAATAGAAACTAAAGGGAAATTCTGGAAACATTTAAAATTATTACAAAGAAATTTTAAAAGTTTAAGCAATAAAAATAATAGACTGAGGACAAGTTTACAATTTGTAACAAACTATTGATTAGTAAAATGATACAACTAGGTTAAAATAGGTAATTAAAATTAGGTGACAAGCCAAAAAAAAGAATAAAGGTTTTTTACATATATCTTTATTGATTTCAGAGAGAGGAAAGGAGAGAGAGAAACATCAATGATGAGAGAGAGTCATTGATCGGCTGCCTCCTGCAGAGCTGCCGCTGGGGATCGAGCCCGAAACTCAGGCATGTGCCCTGACAGGAAATCCAACCATGATCTCCTGGATCCTCAACCACTGAGCCACGCCCGGCTGGGCAAGAATAAAGATTTTTAAAACCACTTTGGAGCTGGAGGTCCTGGGGGGCTCTGTTGGGGAGGGCGGGCACAGGTGCAGCCTCTGCAGTCAGAGTGGCTGCAGCTAAGCAGAGGCCCTGTCCGAGTTCCCAAGCCTGTGATGTGCACCATGCTCACTGCATGTGTGGGCGAGTCACCTGGGTGCCATGGGGAGACATTGATATACCTGAGCTGTCTTCCTCTGCTTATTGCAGGTGTTTGACGTGCAGAGGAAAGTTACCTACAAGAACCTGGGCACCTGGTACACAGAGCTTCGGGAGTTCAGGCCGGAGATCCCGTGCGTCGTGGTGGCCAACAAAATAGATGGTAGGGGCACCCCTATGTCTGGTGTCAGCAGTTCACGGGACCCACCACACATTTCCTCCTGTTTTCCGGGGCCATGCACCTTTAACGATCCATCTTTCCCAAGACACAGCCCTTGCTTGTAGGCTGTCACTCCCTTCCCAGTAGAGATCCCACTTTATGGAATGGGGCTGCCGGTAACCCACCCTGCAAACCCCTCTCTCTTTCCCTTGATGAGAAGGCCAATGTCCTACCTTCTCTCTACAGCAGACATAAAGATGACCCAAAAAAGCTTCAATTTTGCAAGAAAGTTCTCCCTACCCCTGTACTTTGTCTCAGCTGCTGACGGCACCAACGTTGTGAAGGTAATGGTCTGCGGAGGCAGACATCAGGACAGCCAGGTGGGGCAGGGAAAAGGGAAGCTACCAAGAGAAGGGCTGGCTGCAAGGATGGCAGACAGGGCGGGCCCTGGGCTGGGGTGAGCCTGTGACAGGTAGGGGTCTCTGTAGGTGGTGACAGAAAGGAGCTATGGGCCATGCATTGACCCAGAGTGATGGGAAGAAGGTGAATGGAGGGGTGACCTTGCTGATTTTATGGGTGCAGTGTTATGTGGACTTCAGATGGACCCAGTGGGTCCAAGGCAGGCAGAGCCCAGGTCACTGGCACCCATGGCCGCGTTTTCCTTCCTCCCCCACTTCCCCCAGCTCTTCAACGACGCGATTCGATTAGCTGTGTCTTACAAGCAGAATTCCCAGGACTTCATGGATGAGGTTTTGCAGGAGCTTGAGGTAGGTCAGACTCAAATCTCGGTGGGATATAGAAACATCTTCTTTTCAGAGGGTTCCGAGCATAAGCCAACATAGTGGCTCTTGCAGGCAGCACCTGCTGGCACGGGTACCGCCCCTGGAGGTATCGCTACAGGCGGGCAAGCACAGGGCCAGGCCTCACTGAAACCTTGTCCACAGAATATTGATTTGGAGCAGAAGGAGGAGGACCTGCCAGACCAAGAGCAGCGTGGCAGTACCAAGAGCCCACCTCCCTCCTGAGCCCAAGGAGGCGGCCTCCCCTCCCTTCACAGCCCAGCTCTGAACTGAGAAACTTTTGTGGCCCTTGACACCCAGCCCCTCTGCAGCCGACCCTCTTGTACTTAAGGACAGGAGTGGGTCAGCACCAGCAGGCTCCCTGACACACGAGAGCTCTGTCCACACCAGACCCCAACGCAGGATTGAGTACCAGTCCCCCTCCCCGGGTCAGACGGTGAAGAGAATCGGGGAACCTGCTTGCATCTCTCTTAAATAAAATGAAGTGTAGATTGTTTTTTGTCTCCTAGAACAGACCTCAGGGTCTGTTTGTTGCATGTCCACCAAGGGCATGATTTTCCACCCTGACACCCCCATTCCCATCCCTGCAGAATCTGAGGGCTCCTTTTTTGCCTTCAGTCTCCCAACCAATTTTTTTAAGGAATTGTTTTAAGCAGACAGCTACTCATTCCACAGGTGTTTCAGAAGCTCTTGTAGGTCCAGCCAGTACGTTGGTGAATAGTGAGACCAGGGTTGCAGGCATACGTGCGCCATTACATTCCAGTGAGCAAGTACAGGTGTGCCACACTTGGTGGTGCACAGATGTCGCTGGTGAACATGAAGGGCCAGTGCAGCCTCCGTGAGCATGTCACACCTGTTTGCATAAGACACACTGTGAGAGGAGCTTCCTTTAAAAGCCTGGCTTCAGCGTGATGCGTTCCTATTACGAGCACCTGTGTGGGCGTGGTGCCCGGCGGCAAGGGTGCTGAGAGTCCACTTCTCCAGCACCTGTGGCTCGCGTGTGTTTTAATGATAATCTTGTATGTCATTTCCACTGTATTTTTTCTACTTTCTTTTTACAGTAAAGGTTGAATCACATAAACATTGAGCATGTGTGTGTGTGTTTGGGTCTGGATTTCACTGGGCCAACAGCACAAAAGGGTCATCAACCACATGAATGCGGGGAGATGCCTCAGTGTTCCCCAGTTTAACTAGATGTACTGGGATAGAGACCACTTCACTGCCACTGTGTGTTTTAAAAAGAATGAGTCTGGGGAGTCAAGAACAACCTTTTTCCCCTTTAAATTATCGATGTTTACAATTTCAATTTAAGAGATTAGACCTGACCCCGGATGTTCAGGAATGTGCTACCATAGTGAGGTGGGCTTTTAAAAACAACAAAAACAAAACACCCTTGAGTTACTGTAAATAACATAAGTATTTTTTAAGTACAATGTTTTACTGAGGTATAATTCAAACACCCTAACACTCACTGTTGGTACTGGTTTTACATAACCTTTCTGCATCACAGTCCCGGGAGGATGAGCCTGAGGAGGGCCTCCTGTTGGCGGTTCTCAGGAGAGGAGTGGACGGGACCAGAGCAGGAGCAGAAGCTGAGCAAGGTGTGGTCTCAGCCAGCTTTGGTCTCCCCTCCATCGCCATGTTGTCCCCCTGGTCCCTGTGGTTCAGTCCCTCCTGTCCGTGTGCTGTCCCTCCCACTCCTGTGTACAGGAGAATCTGCTCCGTGACCTGTGAGCCATTTCCAAAGTGAGACTGTCCACAGGGACATGAAGGCAGGTCAGAGTCTCACTTCACTTAGACATAATTTTATTCATAATTTTAAAAATAAACAATCAGAACATCTATTAGATTGGCAAAGATTGACCAATTTGAGGTGAACCACTGTTGGCGTAGATGTGGGGAATGGGCACATTGAGAGAAGGCTGGACTGGAAGCCTAGGTGCTCCCTCCTGGGGAGGAGATGCAGCTATGTGTCTGTAACTACCCCACTGTGGGCATAATTCAGAGAAGGTGAACATACGTGCCTATATGAAAACATCTCTACATTTACAGAAAGAGAAAGGAAGTCATAGAGTAGTAGGAACAGCGAAGCATGATGAGGGGACTGGATTATGTGTAAGTACATTCACGTGCATGGGAGGTTTCCGATGGTACACAAGAAAGCCTCACTTGGACTTGCCCTCCAGGAAGGAGACCCAAGTGTCTACCACCACAACTGTGCCCTTGAGGAGAGAGGGTGAGCTAAGGGTAAGGATTTGAGCATATGAGGTGGAGAGAGTGCCAAAGAATCCATTCTGGACCCCAGAAGACTCAGCAGAGAAGGGGTGAGGTACCCAGGCTCCTATACCACTTGTCCAGACTCCTCTGTGGCCACCGATGCCTGCGCCGAGGCACAGCCTGCCCCACGGCTCTCACGGGCAAGCCCACCAGCTCTGGCTCTGGCTCTGGCTCTGGCTCTGGCTCTGGCTCTGGCTCTGGCTCTGGCTCAGGAACACCCAGCGAGGATCCTGAGCTGCTACCATTACTGTCTCTGCTCTTGGGACCACGCGGCTCGTAATTTGGCTTCTGTTCTGCTCTGTCACCAGCACACTGGATTTCATTCAGTGTTTAGAGGGTGACTGGTGGCTGGCACCAGGGTACAAAGATTGTCTCCCTGTATGGATGTTAAGAAACCGGCTTTAGAACAGACAGCCCAAAGCCAACAAAATGAGAAGTCGTGCCAGCTCACGCCAGCTTTTAGCCAAGGCGGATAGAATTTTTTTTTAATTTAAGCACATGTCCATACACTAAAGAACTATGGGCCACTCAGACCAATATACAAGCCCTCCTGTATGTCCTAAGCATTTCAGGGGTTGTAGGTAGACACACAGTGGGCACCTAAGTGCCCCTTGCAGGTGAGCATGAGGTTGCCCACCAGCATCTCATCACCAGCCCACAGGTGTGAGTGTTTCTAGGTGTCAGCTCTGTTCTGTGTCTGGACATCTTCCCAAGGCCACATAGCTGGTGAGGGTAGAAAGGGGATTTGTCTGAATCCAGGCAGATGGGTGAGTCCCAAAAACGAAGATGTGGCTGCTTCCTCAGTCCACGTTCCAGCCGCAGCAAGAGCAGGACTGGCCCCTCAGCCTTTCTACCCAGGACTCCTCTGCCTGTGCCTGCCCCATCCTCCCAGGACCATCTTGCACCAGACACACAGCTTCCTGGATCTGGGAGCGTGGACGCCAGCTACAGCACCTGCCCAGCCAGGAGTCAGGCTCTTTGTTCTCACAAGGATAGTTTGGTTTTCACCGTGGCAGGAGTGGGCAGCTGACCCCACCCCATCAGGATTTCTTTCCCAGGAGTTTGCAAATGGACACAAGCAATTCCAGGTGAGTGCAGACTACAGGTGGTCGGCCGCTCTACAGAAACTCCAGGCTCCTTGCCATTCCTGGTGTCTGCTGCTGGCCCTTCCTACTGGTTCTATGTGACACCTTTGTACCCTCATAATACAGTTTCCCTTTTAAACAGCTTAAACTGGTTTCTGTCTCTTGTGACAAAAGATCTTAAAATAAGGACTCCGAAATGGTAAGAAAACCATTAAAAGCTCACTCAAGGGCATCTAGAAAGTATGTGCCATTGCAATCCTGGAAGCTTTGGCGAATCACAGTCTATGTAATTTACTTGACTATAGAGGGTGATATAGGGTCTAACCGGAGGCTAAAAACAAGTCTGGACAGGCAACGGTCAACCTCCCACCAGAGCCACAGCCACATTGCTCTGTGGTGAATGTTCATTGTGTGGCTGCTGGTCACCTGCTACCCTTTCTGTTCTGGGGACCCCAACCTTCATACCACCAGGACAGCATGTCCCCCATGGAGCTGCCCCACACCCCTTCCTCCCAACCAGTCTGCCTCACAGGAGCTGTTTCCGGGACTCACTCCCACTGATTTAGTGGGCAGAGGGCTACGTGAGAAATAAAGACCACACCTGGCCCACGTGCCCAGGTCAATTTGTTCGTTTTAAAAATCAAGGTTAAAAAAACACAAATGACATGATGTACAACAATCCCACCTGTTGAAGTCTGGAGAAGGGAGGGTAGAGTTGATGGGTCAAGTGGGGAGGGCAGACGAGAAGGCTGGAAGACATCTCTTCATATAGAAATATTGATTGGTTTATTTACTATCTTTGTCTTCCGCCCTGGGGAGTGCAGGTTTTGCTAGGCCTGTTGACACTGGGGTCAGCCCTGTGAGGCCTTTGGCCCCAGATTCATCCACAAGTCCTTGTCCCTTAGAGCCTTCTCTGTCCAGCTTTAGGGATTCTATGAGCAGCTGTAGTCTTCGTGCAAAAGAAGGAGCTTTGGAAGGTTTCGTGGAAGGTGGGGTTGTTACACTGAGTGAGGCTGAGCTTGGGGGTGGGGGT